GGTCCCTTGGGCGCAACAGTTTCGACGCCGAGGAACTCGCTACAGTGTTATGCGAAGTGGAAGCAGTCATAAACAGCCAACCTCTTACGTATTTTGATAGCAGCCCTGCTGAACTGCAATCGCTGACTCTGTCTCACTTCTTGGTCGGGAGACGCCTCATGTGCCTTCGGCAAGAAGACAGCAATACTCATGGTACATCATCAACGAGAGAGCACCTGCTATGTCGCGTGCGCTATCGTGAGTGTCTTACACCGGAGCTATGGAGCCGATGGAAGCGATGCTACCTTCTACTTCGATCCACGCGCAATGCGCCTCATCATAAACTACCTCGACTTGGTGAAGGTGACGTGGTGCTTGTGCACGACGAAGGCACACGTCCGCTACTATGGAAGCTGGGAAAGGTTCTGGCAGTGCACCCGGGAAGGGATGACATCGCACGCATCTGCACCCTTCGACTAGCATCAGGACACACCATAAAACGACCCGTTCAAAAGTTATGCATTCTGGAGGAAAGCCAGCGTGAATCAACTGCCTCGTGATCGTCTTGGCCCCTCGGGAGTACGTTGCGGATGATTGCGGCCACGCGACAACAAGCAGGAGAACCGAAAAAAGAAGTTAGGCAAGAGCTGTCAGAAGAAAGGGACGTTCTTGGTGTAGGGCTGTGGTCTTGAATACGCGACGATTACCTTACTCAAACTCCCTCTATCATGTTAACGCTAGAACTATAAATGTCTATTGTCGTTGTCATCTCAATCTGGTGGCAATGACTTTCTCAACGCTTCCAAACATATGCCACAAGCACAGACTCGTGAAAAGCAGTTGAATAACAACCTGCTCGTGCAAGTGCAGAAAAAGGTTCAAGCATCATCACTGTCATGACTATGATCATGATGATTATCGTCATTATCATGGTGCAGCTACTAACATAATCATTACCAGATCCACACGCTCAAACCTTGGCTGCAGTGATGACATCTTGAAAGTTGAGAGTCACTTCCAATCCTATTAGGCAATGTCAACGTAGCGAGTTGTGGTTTGCAGTGCTTCATTTTGCAGAAGAACTTGAGTACTCGCATAAATTAACTTCGAAGCTACAGGACATATTTATTATGTTTTTGCCACAAGGCGGCGCCAGTGAGTGCACCGCCATAGCTGTGGTATGCAAGCGATGACAGCCTGATGTTTGGCAGTGCTGCACCTCACCAACCAGTTTTCTTGGAAAAATATCAACATAACGTGTGCTGCCGAGAGCTTTCATTGTGGTCTGACAATGATGTTCCTGTGTGAGACTGCAAGTATGGCGACTGCTGTGCAAGAGGTCCTTTCGGATGATGTCACGAGAATACCACCTATATTTCCTGTTGAGATTTAGTAGATATTATATGCGCGTCCAAGAAAATCGATTGCGCAGCACAGAAATTTTGTGTTACTGCTGCTTTACTGTGGCTTGCGCGCAGGTATAGGATATTCCCACCTGATAGCAGAGCAAAAACAGTCACACATTTTAAGCTAAATTAATATTTTAGCTGATCTACCTCTATAATTAAAAGGACACTAAAGTGAAACAGTGAACTGGTTTAGATTATTAAAGTGTTCTCTGAGAACTATAATGTTGCTAATCCTGCCATCACAACTTCATTATCACAGGAGAAAGTCAAGGTCAAAGTACCATTTATAAATTTCAAACCAAAATCTGCGTGTGTGATGTCACGAAATTCAGTTTATATGTCGTATTTTACCAACCTTGGCATGACAAAATTTTAGAAAACTTGGCATGTTAGGTCTCTGGACCCATCAGCAGACAGACAATATGCTTCATTTTTACTGATTGGGAACAACATGGGCCTTATTAGTAAACACCGTCACAATTTATGACGTCACGGTGTTTGGTGTAGAAATATCAAGCTACCACCATTTTCTTTTTGTGCGTTTGAAGCGTTGAAGGGTTTTTTGGGCGTTTGAACCACTTGAAGGGTTGCCAGAATCGGGTTGTCGTGAGTAAACGAGAGGCACGAGGCGCGTGCCAAACATGGAAGTGCGGCGACGGTGCACGAGGAGAAAAGAGTCACCCGAGGGCATGCGCACCAGTCTTGTAAACGCAAGGGATTAGTCCGAGAAAGGCTCAAGGCACGTGACCCGAGCCGAGAAGAAAATCACAGAGGATGAGCTGGCACTGTGCATTGGGGCTTCAAACTGCATAGATCAGGAAAGTCAGTGTTGCTACCGCGATGGAAACAGTAAAACCGCCTAGTTCTGAGGCTTCCAAGATGCATGGAGTGGCTGTCGATTTTGGAAGACTCAAGTCAGGCTGCCCGGTCTTGCCACAACCTGTCACAGTAGTTCCTGGGTGGACTAGAGCTTTTCCGCTTCGAGTCAGAATGAATACGGCCCACACCACAGTCAAAACGCCGTTGACGGGTTAGGTGGAGCCACGAAGTAAGATAAGACAGGAATGCCGACTCCGCCGCTGCCCCACGCTTTCGTGCGAGACACATTGTGCAACCCGCACGCGGTGGTCTAACACATTCCTTTGCTCGCCTACTCCACTCTTCTTCCTGCTTTCGCAATGCTTCCTCTTCTCTCGGCGCGTATCTCAATGCGTAGCGCCATCTGTACAGCTGTGCTAATAAGTGCTTGCGGGAACTGGCGAAAACCTGCGGCGGCAGTGGCGGCAGGGAGCGGCGAGCCCGGAGCGTGTCGTCTGCTACAAAACCGTTTGCTCGACTGCCTCAGTATGACAACCAAACGAAACATATATATGCATATTCATAATGAAATGCGAAATAAAAACATCTTACCGCTTTTTTTACAGATATGTGAAACACTACTACTGATCTTTAGACAAAGCAGACAAAAAATTCTGCTGAAAAAGAACGGCAGAGCAGGTGTATGCTTGTTTTCCACGCCTGAGCAACAGTGTTAGCCGGACATTTTCGTTTAAAATGTCTTGAATGTGCTTATTCATGCTGGAAGAGACAAGATATCTTCGTATTTGAGTGTAAAAACTCTGGGTAACTGGATAGAGTGCAATGAAGTGTTTTGTTCCCGGCTGCAAGTCTGGTTATGACAAAGGGTGGGAGAAGATTCCCCTCTTCGCGGCCTCATGTGATTCGCTGCTACAGCATCAGTAGCGTTAAAAAGTGCCCGTGAGTATGCGACCCCTGAAATCGAAGGACAAAATATGTGCTCGACACTTCGAGAAGCACCTCATGTTTCATAGGTACTTCAGCGAACACAAAAGAAACGTTCTAGTACACGTGAAGAAAATGCCTCGATTTCAAAAAGGAGCAATTTGTTCCATCTTTGAGGTAAGCATGGCTCAACTCGATGACGCTGAATATCAGGAGGGACACCGGTGCCAAAGAGCGAAAGGACATCAATTTGTCTACAACTGCATACAGAGTGGGCGCTTTTCTTTGCCCAGATAATAAATATTCTCAGCTTTGCCTACGAGAGGACTCTTTTGTTGGCCGTCTGGCAAGGATCTAAGACAACAGCTTGAGTGCGCCTTCTAACAAACAATGTGCGGCAGGAAGAGGTGCAAGCAGCTATACTGCTATAAGCGACAACAGAGACGCTCTGTGCCCCGATCAAAGCTCACTTTCAGCAATGTTGCCTCATGTATTAAGTTTATATATATATACATATATATATATATATACATATATATATATATATACATATATATATATATATATATATATATACATATATATATATATATATACATATATATATATATATATATACATATATATATATATATATATATATATATATATATATATATATATATATATATATACATATATATATATATATATACATATATATATATATATATATATATATATATATATATATATATATATATATATATATATATATATATATATAATGTTATGTACGTTGTAGTGGCATTGTAAAATACTGTGTGGTCCACGTTAAAAATGTCAGACATTTGACCTGTTTCGTATGAAAGAAGTAAAACGATACATTTGGGTTATTTCTTCTCATAACATCGATGCGCAAACTGCAATAGTGACGCTCGTTACAGGACAAAATTGGTAGCAGAGGTAATGCATGCGCGGAGCAGACGACAAAACGGATAGACGAGCAGACCCATGAACGCGGCCAAGCGCGTGTCCGTGCCGTTGGCAATGACGGACGGAACCCCCGCCCGCAGCTCTGCTCGAGGCATGCTCACCTCAGCCGCTTTCCTCTAACTTTCCTCTAACCGCGAAGCATGAAGCGGCAGCATTGCAAGATGTGTCCTTTCCAGACGAGTGGAGCCTGCGCTCCTCTCTTTTCTTACTCTGTATTACTCAGAGTGGCCAGTTTTGCTAATAATAAGTGCATATGAGCTTCCTATTTTTCGCATAGCCACTTGTAGAATTTTGTAGAAAAGAAACTTGTCCGAGTTTTTTTTTTTTTGCTTATTAGCATGTTCCCAGTAAGTACAGTTAATTTAGTGATCATCATGGTCACCAATAGAGCATTGAATGATCTTGAGTGGTTGAGTGTTGAAGTCACACACACGTTAGGGGAAATGTCAAGTAATGCTGCACTGGCAAACATGCATTCAACTGACTGGAGATTTCCCTGGAAACAACGTTAAAAAATCACGAGTATGTGATTTTCATCATATTTCCAAATATTTTTACTGTACGAAATAGTGAAAGTGATTTTTCAACTTCCCTTCTTATCTGAGTGACATCTTTGTCATAATCAAATAGATATTTTCAAGAACAAGAAAGAAAATCATCATGTTTCCAGTACTTTTGGGCACTTTTGGGAAATTCGTGCTGCTTTTTTGGGGCTTCTTTAGTGGTGATTATTTGCTTGCTAGCTGGGTAGCATCTGACAACCCTGCTGAGGCTTGATGTCATAGAACTTGACAAAAGTTACATTTGCCTTGCTACAATATGACCTCGCGTGCTGTAACATTTCATTTTCTCATTTAATCTATATGTTAATGCTTTAATTAAACATTTACATACCTAGTGTAGTTGACCTAATTGAGGATGATTGTGTGACAACAGAATCCGAGTTCTTGGGTGGGCACCAAAACTGGCTTTCAAGCTGCAAGAGGAAAAGACAACATAGTGCTCGCCTACATTTCTAACACCCATAGCCAATGACAGAAGCAGCATTGATTTCATTAACCCTTTCATGAAACATGGACAAGTGGGGACATCTCACATTGAAGACCCATAGCCGCTGGATAAAAAAGAAGGTGGGGCCTGTTGCAAATCGTTGAGGCAGCACCTCAGGCCTAATTCACCTCGCGCCCGCTCAGGCACCAAGGCTTGTCTCCGGAGAAGCGCTTCCACATGCATTGGTCCAGCCAACAGTGACTCTAATCAGGTCGTAAATAACCCGTTTTGCAGTTTCACAACACAGGTTCCACACTGAAGTTGTTATTTGAAGGACCCATTACCCCACCCATGTGAACAGTTTGCCTTAGGGGTGCCAGTCTTTCGTAGAGTGGGCCTCAATACTCTCCTGAATGCTGCCCGTTTGAGTCACCTAAAATTAAAGGTGCCAGAAGTATCGGCCCACCAAAACGCATTATGAAAGCATGTACAATTTAAATGAAGGCCAAATTAGTGTACCAACAATGCTGGTTGGGGTCCAAAAACTGAGTTAAAACAAAGAGTTTACAATGCAAATAAAATGTATTCTCAGTTAACGCAGTACCAGCACTACACAAACTTGTACAGTCAGTATAGGTATTAAAACTCACAAAATCTCTTGGAGGGCATCTAAAAACAAACACACTGCACTACATATGCAATCTCATGTGCTACAAGAGCACTTAAAGGCCTTCCCCACACGTGTGTAGTCCACGATTCAAATATTTCTCTAGCAGAAAACACTCAAACGAACTCTAGCCCTGATCGTCATCACTCGATTGCTTCACGATCCACTGACCACATTACACAACTATCTAATAACTCGAAACATTCAATTTCTTCACTGAGTTCACCTATCTGCCCCTACCCTCCATCACCTTTTGTTTGGGTCCTTCCCAGTTTCGCAAACATTTCAAGTGATCGCTTGGCACATAGCACGTACCCCCGCAATAGCTCGTGCCCACGCAATAGCTCGGACCCCTGCAAACAGTCGTCCCTAAAAGAGGCCTTACAATGATGTCTCGAATTCTCCCAATCTGCTTGGGTGTTGCGCTGTCATTAGTTTAATGGGTAAGGCCGTGCCCTGGGCACCTTTTGATACTTGTTTTATTCTTTCATTGCACGTGCCTGTGGAGAGTCAGCACGATGGCTTGATGCTGTTGTATGGATCAAGCGGCACATGTTTGCCTTAGAGCTCGTTTGTGAAAAAAGAAATGCTCATTAACGAATGACACGCTTTTCGACAATCACAGGGGAATACGTGGTACTTCACAGTAGCATCACGTTTGAGCTGCTCAGTGGCACACAAAAAAAAATACATCTGCCAGACGTGTGCACGCCAAAGAACCGTACTTAAGCACAGGAAACATGAGCCAAGCTAACCCCACACACAATTTCACACACACAAAAAAAGGAAAAATCATGAGAAAGCACACAGAAATGCATAAATCTTGAAATGATGACATTGTACCATGAAGTGTTGTCTGCTTTGATGATAGGAGTATCAGTGCCTTCACTATAAAAGCAGCCGCAACAGTTAACTCAGCAGAGATGCGCTCGAGCATTGATGGTGATGCGACACAACAGGCCATGGCCTCTTTTTTATTAGCGGCCGTGGAAGAACACAGCTACATCGGACATAGTCATCACTGGCTCCGTCTGCAACAATCTTTTCTTGATGACGAGTATAGTCCTCACCAGCCGCGAAGGTGTTTGAAAATTGGAGGCTCTTAAGCTTCGCCTTTAATATTTGAACCTGTTTTCTCTGTGTTTTCAAGCAGAAATGTGGGTGAGTGGTAGAACATTTGTGTACCACGCATACGGCCTCGGTTCTATCCTCAGTCGGACCGAAAATTTTTTTATTCTTAGTGCGTACTTTTAGTGGATGAAACCGTTGTGAACTTGCTATGCACCCACTACGTAGTCTTAAAGAGCCAGCAAGCAGCCCTGAAGTTCAAAAAAATTTAAAAACAGATATATGTGCAGTTTTTCTTTGCGAATATGCTGCCGCAAAAATTTTGCAAATATTTGCTATATTAAGGAAGTTACAGGGGTTAGAACATCAGTCTAAGCTGGTTTCAAATTCTCGCGCGGCCTCGCCCCCCTTCTCCCTTCCATGAAGGGGAAGGCGTAGCCCAACGTCGTGACACCGCCAACTTCGGTAAAGTCACACCACGTCAGCGATTGACGTCATTGGCGAACTCGATCAGCCGCAACGCACTTCCGCTTGCTGCGAAGCATGGTTGTTTGTTTACCGTTTGCCCCACCAGCCACGGCTGAACCGTGTAAGCGTCAGGTGCGAAGTGTCGACCAGAAACGATCAGGTCCCCAGCGTATGTCGCTGGATGGCCGATTCCCTTCAGTTATGCAGTGCGCAGGGCCTCATCGTGAGGAACCCGGTGCCGATGCTTCTCCGCTGCCCAGTCGCTCGATTTGCAGCCGACAACAGGGCAACGCTTTTTATTCGTGTTGCTCATGTCAAAGGCGAAGTACGTTCGTACGTGCGCACAGGCGCTGTAGTTGAGCGAGGAGTGTGCATGTGCACGCGACAACTGCGAGGCTGGTTCTTTCACCGCAGTGCCAAGAATCAAGGGGCAGTTTCGTAGCTGTGGGTGGGAACAGGAACTGACGTTGACTTCACTACTGTTTTTTCACACCTGATTAGGCCAATGGGCGAGCTGCCTTGGCGAGCTGCGTGGTACGTCACGTCGCCGATCGCCAAGTTGACGTCACTGCGCGTCCAAGGGGGTCGGTCTGGCGTAGAAAATATACGCGGGAATTTTTTTTTGAAATAGAGGCCCTGTACCGCGCGCAACGCTGTAATATTCAGAAAACATGGTCTAATTTAGAAATTGCCAAGCTTGTATGGGGGTTGTAAAAAAAAAAAAAAGTTGGAGCCTGTTTACTGGCCCTTTAAGGAAACAGGTGCAGTAGCGTGTGTCCTTTTTGTAGTGGTTGATCGCCTTGAAGCCCCGAAGCCATAAGGATAATTACACGTTGTGATGGCCACTGGCAATGGGCGCTTGTACCATGCATTATTACTGCAATATTTAATGTTGGATTGTTAAGCGTGTATACAGGAGGCATGTGTATGTAAAGCATGAAAGATACTTGCAATGCATGTCCAAGCAGAGGAAATTCCTTTGACTGTATTCACATGCAGAGACGTGGCCATGTGGTAGAACATCCCCTTGGCACCCCAACGATCCGAGTTCAATCCCCACATAGACCCGAACGAACCTAGTTTGGTCCCCACATAGACTGAACGAACCTAATTTGGTCCTCACACTCACAAATGGTTTTTTATCATTTATTTTTAACGCGACAGTGTTAGAGGGCTTGTGTCGCAGAAATTCCGCCGTCGGCATCGGCACCGTTGGTTGTGAGTGAAAAATTGAGAAAAAGCAAAAAAAAAAGAATAAAATTTTCAGTCCCATCGAGGATCGGGCCCAGGCCATTCGACTGGCAAGCAGGTGTGTTACCACAAAGCCATAATGTTACTTGCAGCTGCTTTAGAAAAAAACACTACATAGATGCCATGTAGTAGAAGGAGTCTCTTTAACGTATTTTGTTAGACAGGTGTCACGACGAAAACAAGCCCATTCGGCGATTTGTAGGAGCATTTGAGAGGCCATCAAACTACGTCGAAAAAAGCCGGGATAGTGCAGCCATCACCGCTAAAAACACACAGGAACTTTCAAACTGCTCTAAAAATGGACAACTATGTCCATCTAGTGGAAAACATATCATGCCTTTCTAGAGGCGTTGATCAAGCAAACAGCAAAGACTAGATAATGTGCTGCCATCTGTGAGGTATTGGAGACTCTTTATGCCCGCCCCTTCAAGGAAATTCCATTTCAACAAACCACAAGACTTGCATAGATTTAGCTTTTCATTCTCACGACACCATTAAAGAAGTGAAGTACTGCAGTTGCCATTTCGCTGACCATAAGGCGATGCTTGTTGCGGTTGGCCAGATGAGGTCTCCAGAAGAACAAGTGGAACAATTGCCAGATAATTAACGCAAGACAGACAACAGAATGTGACCGTTTACGAATACAAGTGTCACATCTACATACAGTTCATAATACAGGACCATGGGACTATATAACTGTATTATCGAAAACTTGTACCATTACTATAGATACATTGCGCTTGTGCATGCACGTTTGTGTGCGTGTGTGTGTAAGAAACATATTAATAAGTATGCACTTAGCTGTTGAAGGGTGCACTAGGGGCCTGATTTTGCTATCACGTACGACTTTTAAAGGCGAAGCTTTAAGGGTCCCCCAATTTTATTATTATCGTTCTAAATTTTGCAGTCACGCTTAAGATGATTTTATGCTCACAACCAATGGCACCGACGCCGGAATTTCTGCAAAACAAACTCTCTAATGCTATCTTGTTAATATTACACATTTTTTACAGGGACACCAAGTGTGCAAGCAATGAAGACCCCCGACTGTGTTGAAATGAACATGAGCCAAATTGAAAGGAAGTAAAGTGGATGATCAAGCACCATTTCTGTCAGTGGGACCCAAAAAACCTGTGACCTATGTGTCCAATGCTCTACTAATTAAGCTACAACAGCGAGCAATCCTTAGTTCACACTGTATGGTACTCATGTGCACATAATCCCTGGGATCCAGCACAACTCATAGCCAAGGTAGCGAATTGCAACAAAAAAAAGACTGAATAGGAGAACCGAATTTCATTCCATTCACCCAACTATTAAAAAAGCCCTTGCTAAGACACTATATTACATAGGCTAACATAATTTCTTGCCCAACATGATGCCTGTGTAGAGTGTTTGAGCAAATTAGTCTTCAGTACCTGCATGGCTCTGCGGTAGAATGCTCAGCTGCAACACTGAGGGCCCATGTTCAAATCTCATTAAATCCCATCCCAGGTATTTTTTCTCATTTTATTTTTTTCATGCGTAGTGGTTACGCCACCAACGGTGAAGCCGCTGAACGCAAGAACAGGCACCTCAAAGCTGCGCTCCAGAACATGTCAAGTGTCAGGTTACATAATGAAACTAAAATCTAATCATAAATCAGCTTCTAATACAATTACGACACACTGCCTTTTTTTAGCCAGTGAATGGGTACACACACTGGGGGGCAGTCCTCCTCCACAGGATGGGGCCGAGTGGGTGGTGCCATTAGAGTGCGTGAATGATGGCCCTTCCGAGGACTTCTCACTGCGCAGGCACGTTGGCAACCACGGCCAGTGCTCCACCAGCTGCTTGTACTCCTTGCGCACCTGGGCACCCAAAAAATACTGCTGGGCCCACCTCTTTGATTTATTTCAATATATTCAAACATTGTGCATATATGACAGCAAGAATATCTGATTATTTTAAGAACTGCCTCTAAGTTCATTATCGTACATTTCAGCACGGTGTAAGAAAAATAACTTAGGTGTGGACACTCTCTGCCCGCCATGAAGGAGAGCGCGTCCAGATAATGTTCGCCTTTAATACATGCGCCGGCCGCAGTTTTGTGGGGGGCACTGCGACATGGGGCCCAGACAACACTCGATGTCCTGAGGTCGTCCTGATAAGGTACAATCGTCCTCGCACAGTTCTCATTGACCTTAGTACTTACTGAGGACGACACAAGCTGGTTTGACCTGGAAACGACTTTTCGAGTGCTTTCTGAGGACAACAATTGGTCCGGAAAAGGTCCTGTCAAGGATATTTTGAGGATGACAAAAGCATTGCACTGAGCAATTAGATATAATTACTCAAGAACTTTGCGCACTAAACAGATGCATTTCATATGTGAAAGCTTTCTCCACAACGTTGGTTTCATACAGCCATAAAGTTATTTTATATTTTTGCCTCGTTTATTTCTTTTTTGAAAGAAAAATTTCAAATTATGCATTCTGCTTAATGAGACACACATAATTAATTGGCTTGGGTATCAAACCTGGTATTGTGAAATGTCCATTTAAAACACTGTGTTCTTAAATGTCACAGCCTCAAATTAGTCATTATACGCCGTTGTAACACATAATACAAACTAGTAGCTGGCAACCATTGACCATGCGGCACCATTCTGGATAGTCAACTAGCCAAGCCATTCTAAGCCAACTGACTGTCAAAATGAGGTCTGTCAGGGAAGGTGCTGTGTACTAGTGAAGGTTCGTGTCTTTTGTTGTTTGTGTGCATGGTTAAAAGTGAGATATATGTGAGAGTAAGTCCAAGATGACGACGGGAGGTAAATTGCCGTGTTGATGGGTGCACTAGGCTGCTCAACGTTCCGACTAATCATGGATGTATTGTCACCAGCTGACCGCGACTAGGTGTGGTTCGAAGCAGACTGGAACATCAGGCAGTAGCGATCAATTGTGCTTCGAAGCAGCCTGGTCCCAACGTGAAAGGATCGACTTCTGCATCTGACACATGGCCCATCCTCGGGCAAGTCAAGTCAAAGCCCATGTCGAGTGTACTGGTAGGCTGTCTTAGTGAAGCCTCTAACACTAGTGAGTGCATTGGGCACGATACACGTGGTGATGAGGACACTGTGTCAAACTTTTTAGGAAGATTACAAATGTGGTTGATTGAGCTGTATTGACTGCCTTGATACTGCTTTTCTTTTTTCAGACTATACCTGGAATTCAATGCCCGACAAAGCTGTCAGTTGTGATTAATTACTGTTAAATAAATTTCAGTCAGCAAGCTTTGTTTTGTCACCTCTCTGTTGACTGATACAACAGAAAGATTGTATATATACACGAGACCTCGCAGGAGCTTTTTTTTTTTTTGATGTATGGAAATATCATGAAAACAAGTAAATCCTAAGTAGTATCACTGCCCACAGTACCAAACTGGCCACACAATCATTGTTCTGAAAAGACGCTGAAAAAGTCCTGAAGTGTTGTTTTGAGCATGTGCTGAGGTTGTTATGTGTATGGACAAGGGGACGGGATTAGTGCCTTTCTAGTACCATAAGAGGACACTCTGAGGGCGTCATATTGTCCTCACGGAGGCATACTGAGGACGTCCTGAGGTTGTGTTTGTGTTGTCTGGAGGGCTTAAAAAACCTATTGCGACGAGGTGAACGCGCGTTTTTCTTCATTTTTTTTTCACCTCATCGCATTTTCTTTAACTATGCACGCTAGCAACTAGAGCAAGAAACGCGTACCGCATTTCTCACGACCGTGCGTGTGAGCACCTTTTCTGCTCCCTGACTTCTCCTGTGCGCAACACCGTTACGGACGCTACCCACGCAGCTCGTCTTCTGTAGTACATGCGCCGGCCAAGATTGTGTGGGAGGCGCTGCGACATGGGGGACGAAAGGAGGAAAGAGGCGAACATTATGTGGACGCGCCGTTGGGCACTCCAGGAGTGTCCACAACTCAATTATTTTTCTTACATCGTGAATTCAGGCATGTTGGTATGATATTGCCAAATGCACTTCGTTTTGTAATTTGATCTAACTGGGCCATTACACATACAAATGAACCACAATTATACAATTTTCAGTGGCACACACAAGGCTGTCATATACTAACTTGGTCGTCATATAATTGAATAACAAAGAATATCACCGTAAAAGCAAGTAGAGACTACTAAATAGGCCCACGGCTTAACACTGTGCTTTTCCAAGGAAGACAAAATGAATTATTTTCGGAAATGGAAGCTAAGGGCATCATTACTTAACTGAAATCTTTATTCTCAAATTTAAAAAATCAAATTTAGTGTGCATCTTCCTCCTGACAAATTTTATTTCTAGTGAGGTGCAACTGGTTACGTCCCGCTGGTATTATGAACGTTCACGTCAAGTGAAAGTTATTTTTCTTGGTCCCTTTGCATGCTCAAGGCCTGTGATCATGACTGCCGCAAGCAAAGGGAGGAGATCAGCTGTATGTCGGCAAGGAAATGTTCTGGCAAGCTGAAGCTATTCTGTGCAGATTTAGCCTGTCTAGATAATTACCCTGGACATGCACACGATAAAGGTGTATACAGAAATGCACGAACTGACAGGCGAACAAACTTTTCATTCCAAGACATACTGTCTCACTCTTCCTACTTTTATAACCATAAACCTAGGGTAATGAACATTCTTATTTTGCACTCGCGAATATTTGGTGAGCGCTTGATTTGAGTAAAAATGTTTTTTTCTTTTCTCGGACAAAATAAGAAAGTTGTAAGATGGAGGTTGGCATAAAATTGCGTCATATAACCAAGGTTCTTAATAATGTAGAATCTCATTATTTTGAACACACTTAATTAGAACTCACAATGTGGCCCCGTCAAAGATATGTGTATTCCAATGGGTGAAAACACCCTGTAATTCGAATGCGCAAGCACTTACGACGGTTTATTTGAACATACTGCGCTCTTAAAATGCTCTCAGAACCACGCCCAATCCTACGGCAGCACCACTCAATGCTGCGCACGTAGAAGAAAAAGAAAAAAATGAAAGAAAAGGCTGCGGCGGAATCTTTTCTTTCTCTCAAATGCCGATCTGGGACGCGCCAGTGCCACGCTTCTCCCTTTCCCGTTCCTGCCACATAGAAACCCTTCTCCTTTCAACATTGTGCACAAATAGAGAGAGAGTGAAGAAAAAGAAAGCTGTCGCGAAGTGTTGGCTTTTTCTTTAATGCCGATCTGCCACATGCCGATTCCACGCTTCCCGCTTTCCCGTTCGTGCCCAGAAGAAATTACTGTCCTTTCAACACCGTGCGCAAAGAAGCTGCCGCAGAGTGTTGGTTCTCTCTCAAATGCCGATCTGGTTCTCTCCGCGTGGAGACGCTACTCCTTTCTTGTCATGTGCTGGTCATGCTCCAGCTGCGGCGCCGAGGGTAGCAGCGGAGACGCAGTCATTGCTGTTGTTTTTAAGTAGTGTTGGCACTGGAGTTAGCCGCGCGCTACTTCTCTTGATAGGAGAATGCTGAAGCGGAAGTTGAAATGCTTTGCAATCTGCGTGCGAAATTGATTGACCGCTGCAAGGCAAACGTGTGCAGACGCACATCAACTATTACTTCAATTAATGACGGATGTCCTCTGATTTGTGAATAAATGTAAGTCTTCTGAAGCTTCCCCCTCGTGTGTTAGCTCAATGCACATGCGCCACTGCATAGTGAACCCTCCGTTCATTTATCTTTCATTACTTTGAACTTCTTTTCATTCAAAAAAATTTTCGGGCCCCCTTAAGTTCCAATTATCGAGACTGTACATTGTTTCCATAAGTATTTTGGCCGGATAAAACTGGTTCATTGTAAAATGCCAGTTGTCGCGAAACTGGGGGACATATTTCGTAACAATATTAACTCCGTATTCTCTTCCGTAACAATATTAACTGAAGTTCCACTGTATAACCACAGCCTTGTGCAAACCACGCCTGAGTGTTTGGGAACCTTTCAGATTACTATTCTGGAATCTTGTGATGAGCTTGAGCATGCAGCACGAGCAGTAAAGTTTATGGAACATGTCACAAATGATTCAGTTGTGCAAGCAACATCCTTCTTAACATATTTAAAAAGCACATGCAAAATGCAAGGAACCCATGAATGCATAAATCCCGAACCTATAACTGGTAGACCAAGGAGGTTAGAAAAAATCCTGAGTGGGAGTTTTCACAAGGTTTTAGACGCTGATGTGAAGGCAGCATTTGCCAAGAATTTACCTCAAAACATGGACCTTCTTGCATAATGCCCAATCACGGATTAAGTGCTTTTGTTTTGCTAACATAAACGCCAGCCAAAATATAGAGCAAGAGATAACTGTTCTAGACAAAGGTAATAAATCTGATTGAATACAAGCAGCTTGATTTCTTCTTAAATTTGTTAAGGTCCTTGGACTTCTTCAGGAAACCAGTGACACTAGGACACCCGCTGAGCAGTATCTTTACCGAAAAAGTACCACTTTTAAACTTGTGCGGCACATGAAGCAAACAATGTTGTTTCTTCATAAGATGGTGACTGCCTGGCTTCACTTTCGAAACTTAATATCCACTACAGCAGTCTTTATAATTCAAATTTCCTTAAAATGGATCCATAGATCACTCAGAGAAACGAGCATTAGCGATTATCACCTTGTCGTTCCTAAGGCAGTGAAAGACGAAGATGAAGAGGCCCTGCAAGCTGTTGAGAAAGGTGAACAGGTATGCCATGGCCACCGACTCGGCGCTGAGATAGAGCAGGCCAAACCCCCATGTGAGACCGAGCAAAACAACCAGCACGGCCGCACTGCGGATCCAGATCCTGGAGAAGATAATAAAAATATGCTGCATAAACACCACCATACTTTTAGAAGGCTTGTGAAAATATTTGAGCACTTTGATTTCAATGACTATTACAGTATTCCGATTCGGCTCATTTCAAAGTTATGTTATTATCAATTTCTAATCGAAATGAACAATAAGTGCATATAAATCCACATGTGGTGTGCCCTGTAAAAGTGGTTTTGCTGCAGTCAAAGAATGATTTACCATGAATACACCTGTCCAAGAATAATCCACACTGTCATGAAGTTTCACTTCAAGGTTAAATGAACATACAGAGGAACCTCATTATAAGAGACACTGATGTAACAGACGAATGGATATAAGAGACACCAGTGAGACTACATTAAAATTAAAAAAAAAAATGCTTACGCCCCGCCACGGTGGTCTAGTGGCTAAGGTACTCGGCTGCTGACCCTCAGGTCGCGGAATCAAATCGCGGCTGCAGTGGCTGCATTTCCGATGGAAGCGGAAATGTTTTAGGCCCGTGTGCTCAGATTTGGGTGCATGTTAAGATCGCCATGGTGGCGATCCCCAGGTGGTCGAAATTTTCGGAGCCCTCCACAACGGCGTCTCTCATAATTACATGGTGGTTTTGGGACGTTAAACCTTACATATCTATCTAAAAAAATGCTTACGCTGCTTACAAAAGACACAATACAGTCTAACGCTTTTATAAGAAACAGTAATGTAGCAGACAATAAGAAACACGAGTGTGCTACATTGCAACAGGGTTTAATAAGAAAATGCATATGTGGTATCCTGCATATAAGACACACCTTATATAAGCGACCGGAATCGTTCCTTAGTGCATGTCTCTTATGAACTGGTTCAGCTGCATTACCCTCACATCGATTCATCCTTTTCAAAGTTTAAATACTGGTTTATATGCTGTATGCATAGTAAATTTTAAAGCGTAACATTAATATTATACCGGTTATCACTCGCATTCTACTGAAAGTGATATCCAAAATTGCTTTTACTTACATTGAACAAAAATTCAGCATATGCACATGCCTCCTTTCAATTAAAGAAAAAGTATTGGGCAGGTTAAGTGGGCCCTGACAAATATGCTCCTTTTTCCTTGTACAGTCAACCCTGGGAATATCGAACTCAAGTACATAAAATTATTCACTATATCGAACAGTCGATGAATCCGCTTGAAAATCTCATGCAAAAATTATGGGGCTGTTGCATGCATATATCCAACTCCCGCACAGCGTAAAATCTGGTATATCGAACACTATGCCAGGCCGAAGCCCGCAAAGTGCATTTATTCTGACAAACATTGATCATTTTTCAGATGCATTCTATTAAGTTTCGATTCGTCTTCCCGAACAGGTGACGTAAAGGCAGTGCGATTCGTTGGTTGCGCAGCATTTATTGTAAGTGCACCAGCGCATGATGCGTGGTAAGTCGTAGGTTAAGATGTAAGTCCGGCAGCACGCTAACGCTGGCCCGTGCTAACGTTCCTCGCTTCTTCCTGGTGCAGTTTCTCGGACTCTGGAGTTTGCAGCTACTGGAGCCTTCCGGCCCCCGTACCCCGTTCCCACCATCTGCTGTTAGGCCATGGCCGGACGCGACGCCTCTGCTGCCCGAGGATCATGCGGTGGGACTGTTCTGGTCCTCAAATCAACCTGTCTTCGGAGCATCTCGGTCTGCGCACTTCGTGCCCGGCCGTCGACCGTATCAACAAGCATCGTGGCTTTCAGTCGGCCATTTGAACACCGGAACCTCCCCTGCACATTCCACGCATGCGTGGGATTTGGTTAAAAAGCAAGCTCAGAGCAACACTCCTTTCAGTGGGTCCGGCAGCACGCTAACGATGGCCCGTGCTAACGTTCCTCGCTTCTTCCTGGTGCAGGTAATGAACTCTTACTGCCTTTACGCAAAACCAACATCTCACCGAGCACTCCTGGTGCTGCCGGGCCCACGGCGTTTTTGTTTCATTGTGAGTGATTGTTCTCATATGTTACTAAGCCTTCTCTTGCTAGCTGGTGATGTTGAATCTAATCCCGGCCCCGACAAAGAAATTCTGAAAGTTTTGAATGAACTGCAATCTGGGCAGACGGTGATGCTGGCGCAGCTAAAGTCGATTGAAAAGAAATTGGCTGATCATGATAAAACTTTCAGTGAAATTAAAGCACGGCTCGACAAAATCGAGACATCCTGTGCTAGTATCGACGACATGCAGGCTGAATTAGTTAAAGTGAATGAGACATGTACCGAAAATACGGCACAGATAAATGCACTGTCTACCCGGACGAATGAGGCTGAAAATAGATCTAGAAGAAATAACCTTGTTTTCTATGGCATAGAAGATAAACCTAAGGAAGCATGGCTTGATTCCGAAAAAATTGTCATCGAGCATTGTAAACAAATCCTAGACATACAGGTAGAACCGCGCGATATCGAGCGTGCACACCGCATCGGGTCTTACCAAACTGGGAAACCCAGGCCTATAATTGTGAAATTCGCTCACTTTAAAGATAAAGAGCGCATCTTGTCTTCGGGGCGCAAATTCAAAGATACAGGCTATGCCGTCACGCAAGACCTCTCCCCCAGCACGCGCCTTGCCCATAAACGCCTCTCCGAATTTGGAAGGGCCCAGAACATGCGATACAGGTTACATCATGAAAAGCTTATCACGAATGATAAAACCTACTATTACGACCACATTACTAATAGGGTAGTTGAAGAACGCCAATAGCCATCATTGAGATCTCGAAATAAACCTTCTTCACGGAATCAGCCCCTCTCATTTTTACTGGCTAACATTCGTAGTGTAATCCCCAAACGCGATGCACTGTGCAGCTTAATAGGCTCATCTTCATGCGATGTCTTACTATTAACAGAAACGTGGTTTAACCCATCCGTCGGTAATTCCGAGATTCTCCCCTTTCTTTCACACTTTGACATATTCCGGAAATAAAGAGCCGATTACTCGCGCGGTGGCGGTGTATTAATCGCCACTAACCGGAATCTGCATTGTTCACTTGTAAACCTTCCTTCAACATTGGAAATGGTTTGGCTTCGATGCACAGCCACACACCCGCACATCCTCATTGGTGTCTGCTATCGGCCCCCTAATTCCGACAGTTCATTCACGCCTTTATTTCACGAAGGTCTGAACACATTATTAAACAAGTACTCTAATAGCCCTGTCCTTTTGTTCGGCGATTTTAATTTTCCCTCCATTGACTGGTCTGATCCCGCTTCTTCACTATCTAACAGCAGCTCGGCAAGCGATTTCCTAAACACATGCATAACATTCGGCTTAACGCAGCTCGTCACTGATCCCACGCGCATCACTGATCACTCGTCCAACGTTTTGGACCTTGTGTTAACAACGCATCCTGATAACTTCACGCCTATCACCCTTTTGCGCGGCTTGAGTGATCATCTAACAGTGCATGCCTCGTTTTATTGCAACGTACTAAAGAAACAAAAAAATCGAAAAACACTTACCCTCTACAATAAAGGAGACTACGTTAGCATAAACCGAGAATTAACAGAATACTTTGACACTTTTTCCGCTAATTTTCCGCTAAATTCTCTCGAGTCGAATTGGTTGCTTTTCAAAGCAGAGATGCATTGTCTTATACGTATTTATATTCCTACCATCACAATAACAGAGAAAATGAATTCCCCATGGTTCAATGTATCCCTCAAACGACTAAATAATAAGAAAAAACGCCTATTTCGAGCTGCCAAACGAGCTAACTGTGCTTCCACATGGCGGAATTATTACGCAGTCGAGAAAGAATATTATAAATTAAACATTGAAACTAAGCACAAGTTCTATTCTAACACCCTACCAGCTATGCTGCAAAATAACCCGAAGCGATTTTGGAAAACAGTTAATGCCTCTCAATATAGTGAGATTTCACTTATTAATAGCTTCGGCCTTCCTATTCCTGAGAATGAAATTGCTGATTCTCTTAACACAGTATTTAGTTCTGTTTTTACTAATGAGCCACCCGACAGTTTACTCGATTTTCCATTTTCCGCATATCCGCTGATGCAAAACATCACATTTGATTCATGCGGCATAGTCAAAGTCATTGAATCATTGAATAACTCATCACCCACGGCAGTAGACGGCATCAATGCTAAAGTGCTAAAAAATACTAAACATGTGTGTAGCCCGTTTTTGTCGCTCATATTTCAGGAATCACTCGACAGCGGTTCAGTTCCACATGACTGGCAGGTGGGCAAGGTCATCCCAGTCTTCAAGAAAGGAAGCCGAGCATCGCCGAGTAACTACCGTCCGATTTCTATAACAAGCGTTTCTTGTACAGTAATGGAGCATATCATATACTCGCATACTGCTAACTTCTTAACATCTGTAAATTTCTTTCACCCAAGTCAGCATGGTTTTCGCAAACATTACTCCTGTGACACTCAACTTGCTCTTTTTCTGCATGATCTACACGTAAATCTAGACCGTAACATTCTGACACACAATATTCTTAGACTTCGAAAAGGCATTCGACAAGGTCCCCCATGGTCGTCCTTTATTAAAATTATCCCGTCTTAACATCCACCCCTGTGTTTTAAACTGAATACGAGGATTTTTAACCAACCGTCAGCAATTTGTTTATGCTAACTCACGCTATTCATCTCTAACACCCGTTCTTTCAGGCGTACCGCAAGGTACTGTACTTGGTCCCCTCCTCTTCTTGATATACATTAATGACCTCCCCTGTATTCTTGATATACATTAATGACCTCTCCTGTAATTTCTTCTCACATCCGTCTATTCGCAGATGATTGTGTTGTTTACCGCGCAATTAATAACCCCTCTGATCATTCCATACTACAATGTGACCTCACCCGCATACAGAACTGGTGTAACACTTGGCTCATGTCCTTGAATGTAACTAAAACTGTGTTAATGTCTATTCACCGTCGTCAACATCATGTTGTTTATAACTACAGCATCAATAACAACCAGATTACTACAGTCGATTCATTTAA